AATTCAGGGTCCTTCTGGATGCTGCAGGGGCAGACAGAAGATGGCAGCAGAGGGGCAGGGGCTTTGGCTAAAGGCAATGGTCCCTCCTGGTCACGTGGCAGCCACAGAGCTAGGCAGACCCGGGTTAAGAATGGAGCCCCAGAGACCCCCTGACTGACGCTCCATGACTCCACAGAGGCTCCAGGGCCTGCAGGCCACCAGTCTCCTCTCCAGGTGCGGTCTCTTCTTCCTGTGGCCCTTCCGAGTGATCAAACGTGTCCTTTTTCTAGGCCGTGCTTCTTGGGTTGAAAAGGGAGAGAGACCCCTTGAAACAGAGAAGGCTCACATGCCTTTCTCCCAGAGAATGCAGTTCCACATACAAGTTCATGTATTTTTTTCTGGGGGTCTACCCATTGGGGTCTCTGTTCCCTGGTGAGGACCCCATTCTTTCAATAGCTCAAGTGCTCAGCCTCTCCCTTCTCCACATCACCCTCTCTTACTGCATCACAGTGGGTACAGAGGTGCTCCACATATGTCTTGGGCCAAGAGCCTGGAGAGGAGGGACAGTGGTCAGACACAGCTGGGTGGCCCCACAGATGACAACTTGCAAAGCTAATTGTGCAGTGTCTAGATCCAAGGGTGTTCCCAGAAGAATTTAGCACTAGTTAAGTCTAAATTCACTGGCTGCAGTGAATTTAGAGAAGACTCTAGCATTCATGTGACAAATCATGTGTTATGTTCTGGTTGAAAACATTAGAAGTAATTCCAAATGGTTTAATATGTGACTTGGGGAAAAAAAGAAGAGAAAAAAGTTGAAGAATGCACTTCATAGTGTCCCATTTCTGTTGTTTTTGTTTCCAAAGCCAATGTGAGGTCCACCTCACGGACTTCGAGAAAAAGTGAAAGCAATTCTGCAGAGTTGATTAGAGGTTTGGAAAAAAGGTCCTGGTGACGGCATGATTCCCCTTACTCCTCCTGTGAAATCCTTAACAATTTTGATTTAAAACCAAGGGTCCAATGAAAACTGTTTTTATACTGTTAAATTTTGAGAATTCTTTCTATATACCAATCCTTTGTTAGACAGTTTGCAAATATTTTCTCCCAGTCTACAGCTTGTGTTCTCACCCTCTGCACTGGGCCATTCACAGGGCAAAAGGTTTTGAATTTGGTGAGGTCCAACTGAAGCCAGAATTAAACAGGCAGTCAGTATAGACAGGTAGATCCAGTCAGGTGGATCAAGGAGGCCAATTTTGAGTGAATCCCGGGAAGTTGCAGACTGTCCCCTGAGGGACTGAAATGTGAGTTCCTTCAGAGCCCTTCCTCCTCCCTGACCAAGAACCTGCCCTGCTGCAGCCTGTTGCCAAGGTGACCTGTCCCAGGAACTGCCCCTGCCTACAGGGAGCCAGAAGGTGGTTAATTAATGTGTCCTGGGCTGCCCCATCCTGCCCTCCCCCCTTCAGCCCACCTGTGTCCCACCTTTGGGCCATCACACCATCCCACTGTCCTACTGTCCCACCGTCCCACCGAGCACTCCAGGCCTAGTCCTGGGCTTAGTCACTTATGCAGGAAGGAGAAAGATAAGAAGAAAAGGCAGGAGAACAAAGGATCCTAGGACGTATAAAAAGGGCAGAACACCTCACCTCTGGGGACACCAGGATACCAGCTCTGGCCCCCTTCTCCCTCCTGGGAGAACCCTATGTCACCCCTTTTTAAATAAACCCTGTTTTATATGCCTGCCTCGGCGTGCTTCTCTAATGTCCAGACTTCAACGTGTAGGAAGCAGGACTCATCACCATAACCGGCGTATCACAATCTGTCAAACTGTCCTCCTATGGATGCTATTTTTGGTGTGGATACTAAAATCCCGCTGCGTAGCCCAGGTCCTTGAAGGTTGGTTCCCGTGTGTTCATCTCAGTCCTCATGGCTTTATGTTTAACGCCATGACACAGTTTGAGCTGATACGTGGACAAGGTGTGAGGCTTAGGTGAAGATTCCTTTTCTTGCCTGATGGAAGACTAAGTTCTGAAGCTCCTGAGGGAATATGAGCTCCAATGAGCGCCAAGCTGCAGACGAAGACGTCTGATGGAGCGCTTGTGTTTTCTCCTCCCCCATCTCAGTCTGGAGAGTGTCCAGATCCAGAAAAGGAGCAGAAAACTTTCAGATTTTAAACATTGCATTGCTTTGTGAACTTTTTGATGCAATGATCAAAGGACTGCAAGATTATGAGTCACAGATCACTTATTTTAAAACGTTCTGTGTGCCATTGCAGAGGTTCCCACATGACACTCCTCTTTCCTTACTCCTCCAGCCCCACAGTAAGCTGGAAATTCAGACACTGAATCATTGTGAAACTCAACTGAGACACCCAGTGGTTCCTATGGCTCTTTATACACCTATAATACTCTCCCAGGCCCCATATCATGCTTATTTGTAACTATCTCATGGACTTGTGGAAATTCTAACCTTCTACCTGGGTGATATTCCAGAAAGATACTTTTTTTTGATTAAAAGAAGTTGGTTGAAGAGATAATCCTATCTCGTCTTTTAATATGAGGTCTTCTCACATTTTCTGCCTGGTGATCAATAAGTCATAAATCATAAGATCCCCTCAAGAACGATCCCACAGCCTGGCTGCTGTGTGAGGGGCAGGGGCAGGTAACCCAGGATCTATGTATGCAACGTCACCAGAACTCCTGTGGTCTCTCCCGTCTTGCTGTCTGATCATGAAGACTCACAGATGTATTTTTCTACACATCAAAATACAAATCCCCACACAAGAATTGGAATAGCTGGTCTCAGGAATGGTTCTAGAAACTCCACAAGTGATCATAGAATAATTTTAAAGAGTCCACCAAAAGGATAATTTGATCTCCAAAAAAGTTTGGTAACATAATTTAAATGCATTATTTTCATTAGAGATCACCATTTCTTCTTTTACTAATCACGGCATCCCTTTGTAGATCTGTACTTTCCATGAAGACGTTAATTTAAAAGCAATTCTGAAGCATTTTCCCTTTCATTTGTAAGTACTTCATAAATGCTGATGCTCTTAAACTTTGCTTTTGTCCCAAACTGTTCATCATTAATTGAGTCTTTAATGGATAGTTAATAAAATCCCTTCACCCACCAATGACCAGATTGCATGGCTGATAAATTCAGATTCTTATGGAGCAAGCTTCACTAACAGTGAATTTTTTAATTTGCAAGTGTAAAGTCCCTCATGCATATTTAGAGGAAAAGATGCTTACAATAAAATTGAAATTCTTCCAATTCTCCTTATTTGTAGGTGCTTCAAAATTATCTTGCAGAGTGAGAAGAGGTTCTAAAGGTTAACTGTGCCCAGTGAGTTGTCCTTCCCCCCTAAAGCAAGTGAGAACTCTGGTCCAGGCAGGCCAGTGGGGCACTGGGAGCTCTCTTGGGCCGAGCTTCCTGAAACACTCAGGTGGCGGCCCAGGCCCAGGTCTAATGGGAGCATCACTCATAAGAGAAGGGTGAAGGCGGACTCTGACGCAGTTGCAGAGAGCCATCGGCTAATCTCGGGGGGCAGGAGAACCCTTCCCATCTGTCCCGGTGGCACATGCTGGGCTGGGTTTTGGTGCTGTCGCCTGATGGTCCTTGGATGCTGGCTGCCCCAGCAGGGGTGTAACTCACAGGAGGGGCTCCCTAAGACCGGAGCTGATTCATTGTGAAATGTGGGGGGCAATGTTGCTGTGTGCTGTTGGCGCTGGCCCCAGGGACCCGGGAATCCACTGCCTTGGTTCTGAGAGGGCATCAAGGGCATCTGCTACCAGTGGCTTGGGTTAGGCCCCAAAAGAGCAACAACAGGGGGTGTCTCTTCTTTTGCTTATGCAGTGGGACAATAATGGGACACTGCTAAAGAAAGCCGCAAGTACCAACGAGGCCGATGAAGGACCTGCTGCTCATCAGAGGGGCACGGCAAGGGGAAGGACAGTCACCTCCAGCTGGCCAGCGCCAGTCGTGCCAGGGGCTTCTGGCGATGTGCTGGTCCTTGTCCCCACGGTCTCCCCTGTGTGTGTGCAGATGGGGGCATTGACGGTTTATGTCTACCTTCTCACTCTGGCTCTTGCTCACGTGTCCCTTGGCCCAGCCCTTTCTCCCACTGTAACCTGGCCCCAGTGTTCCCAGGCACAGTCTGTCCGTCCGCCTTGTTGCTTCTCCCACAGGGAAGTCCCTGAGTCTGAGGGTTGGCTGTGGCCGTGTCCTGGAACACCAGGAGCATGCCCCTCGCTGCCTGAGCCACAGCTGGTCTCTGCCTCTAAACAGGGTCACTGGGGTCATGACCCTCAGGGATCCAATGTTCTGGCTGGCTGAGTCACAGTAGGACCGTAGCTTTGGGGGCCCACTCTTGGAGGTGAAGCAGAGGACACTTCTGGTCAGCTGCGAGGCAGCACTGGCTGTACAGTAAACTCTTACACGGAGGACGGTGCCATCTTGAGGTGTGAGCTCCACTTCCCACAACGGAGTTCACACCCAGAGCACTCGACAGCTCTGGGGATGCCCCGTCCCACGTGCGCCAAGATGAAGCCCCTCCACCAACCAGAGCAAGGCAGCAGCACCTAGCAGGGCGCACCCTCCTCTCCACCCCACCAGGCCGGCCCAGTGACACCGTGTGGACTCTGGCCTCCTCTGGACAGTCACCGTGAGTGACAAATTTCAACGAATGTACGTGGGCTAAATTAGACACGGTTATTCTGATTTTCGGGAGGTGACTTGGTTTGTAAAGCACGTTTTCCTTCTCTCCACCCCACCTTTGAGGAGAGATTAGGGGGTAATTTGTTTTGAGGAATGAAAATTCAAAGCTCTGCAACTTCTGAGCCGCAAGCCTGTCACTTACCCTGGGAGTTTAAGTTGTGGAAAAGATGGCCACTGATGTCCAGCAACAAAAATCAAAGTGGGAACCTGGCGGTTGGAATGGTTTCCCCAGGAAACGAGAGCCGTCTCAGGAGAGTTCAAAAGGGGCGCTGGGAAAAAGGAACCGTCGCTGAACGGCTCACCTTTACCTTGGGCTTCTCCTTCACCACCTTCTTATTCTCCTCCTTTTTGGCCTTCTTTCCCTTCTTCTTCTTCTTGTTCTTTTCTTCCTCTTCTTGGCCTGCAACGATATCTTCAATCACCTGGAAAACAACCCAACAATCACCGCGCTCAGGCAGCAGTGGGCGAGGTCGCTCCTGTCTGGAGTGCCCTGCTGTCGGGACCCTTCTCTGCCTGCTCTGGGCGGGGATGAGCCCTGGGGTGGCAAGGCCACCATCTAGTAGAGCTGACTTGTCTGCAGGAGGCAGCAGAGGAGCCCAGAGGGGACTATGCAGAGCTGGACCCTTGTGAGTCCAGGTCCCCCTAGCTCAGAGCTGCCCCTGCTCCAGGGGTCCCTCAAACTCCAGACATCTGGGCCTCCTCAACGTCCAGCAGCAGCTGGGCACGCCCCACCTCGACCTGCAAGTTGAGGATGCCACTTCCAGCCTGGACCCCGATGGTGACAGGAGTTCTCGTAATAACTTCCCCTTTCCATGAGTTCTCTGAGTTTTCTTTCTTCACCCAAGACATAATTTATATTTCCTATAAAATGTAAAATTCTCTTTCAACGGTACCTCCATCCCATCACACCTGGACTGACACTATGGGAGGAGGAGGACAGGTCTGGGAAGGATCGTGCAACTCAGGGAGTGGGACATGCGTTCAGTGAGCATCACTCTTTGCCACTGGGAGCTGTGAGTGTCGGAGACACCAAGGTGACCAGGGCAGGATGCCCTTGCTTGTCCCTCGGGCTCTGCTCCCTGCAGGCCCTGACTGAGCCAAGCTGTGTGGCCTCTCTGAGGTGCTTCCTCAGCTCCAGAATGAAGCCAACACCCCCGTACAAAGCACCAATGGTGTGCCAGGCACAGCTCCGGGACCTCACAAGGCTGAGCTCTTTACTGTGGGACACGCCGGGGGTGGTATCCTGAAATTTTATGATTTACTTGTTAGTTATCACAGGATTTGGGGGGATCTACAGTGTTTTCCATAAAAGATGATGTTGTTCACTGAGACAATTTCCCTCCTTCTTTTCCTGTTTGGATGCTTTTTATTTCTTATTTTTTTCCTAATTTATCTATCTGGTACTATTTTGAATAGAAGGTGCAAAAATGGGCACCCCTGTCTTGTTCCTGATCTTGGAGGAAGAGCATCCAGTTTTTGCCACTGGTAATGATATTAAGCTGTGGGCTTTTCATATTAAGGTCTTTATTGTATTAAGATAAGTTTATACCATACCTAATTCGTTGAGTTTTATCATGAAAGAATGTGGATTTTCGTCAAATGCTCTTTATGTATTTAGTAAGATAATCACATGATTTTTATCCCTCCTTCTGCTAATGTGACTGATTTGCATATGTTGAGACATCCTTGCACCCCAAGGATGAATCCTGCCTATGAATTTCATAATGCAGACAGAAAAGAGTCTTGTTGCCATGAATAAGTGCATGCAGACCTCATTTTTCAGGTGCAAGTGTATCTGCAGAATAAATTCTTAAAAGTGAAATGCTGGATCAAGAGTATGCACCTCTGTGACACTGTCCTGAGTTGGACAAATTTATCCTGTCACCACGATGAAGGAAGGGGCTGCTTCTCTGTGTCCTTGCTATCACAGTGCCTGGTATCTGTCAGCCTCCTCGGTGGAAAAGGATATGCCTTGTAGTTGTTTCAGATTTTTTTTTTTGAGAGGTCAGTATCGAATTTATTTTCTCAGGCTCCTTAACTATGGCAAAATCTTCCAGAATTAAATGTGCACTTTCACTACCATTGTGAGGTGTGTGTGTGCATGTGTACACATGCAAATACTCACAATGAGCATCGCAGACAAGAAATCATCATCATCATTATTATTATTATTTTTTTGTGGTGCTGGGGCTTGAACCCAGGGCCTTGTGCATGTGAGGCAAGCTCTCTACCAACTGAGCTACAGCCCCAGCCCAATAAATCATTTTTCTAATCCATAAAGAACTCCTACAGCTCTGCAAATGTGGCCCACTGCCCATTTCTATTTTTAAGTGTGACTTCACTGTGGCATATTTTACATATTCTACAGTCACGTATTCTAAGTGTACAATTCAGCAAATTAGTCAGGTGGTGTCACTTTTAGGAAGATCCCTCATGTCCACTGTCGTTGCCTTCGCCCTCCCTCCTTCCCGGCAAGCCCCAGCCTGCATTCTGTCTCCAGGGACCTGCTTTCTCTGGACGTTCTGCATGACAGACGCAGACGGTTCAGTGTCAGCCGTTTCTGGCTTCTTTCCCTCAACAATGCTCGTAAGTCAGGCTCACCTACGCTGTCGTGGATACCAGCTGTGCGTTCCTTTTTATTACCAAATAATATTCCACTGTGTGGCTAATGCCCCATGTCTCCCATCCATTTACCCATTCATCCATTCATCGAGGCTGCTTCAAATTCTTGGCTATCGTGACTTACGCTGCTATGAATATTCATGCACATTTTTTTTATGTGGACGTTTGTTTTCATTTCTCTTGGAAAGGGGTCCTAAGAGCGGAACTTCTGGGCCGTGTGGTCAGCTCATGTTGAACTTCCAGGAAGCTGTCGAGCTGTTTTCCAAAGCGGTCCCAGCAGCCATGCTGGGGGCTTCTTTTCCTCCAATCCCCAGCTTTGGGGGCTTGTCTTTTTCATTATTTTCATCCTAGTGAGTGGGAGACACTGTTCACTGTGGTCTTCCCGGTCACCACCCTAAGGACCAGTGTTGTTGAGCATCCTCCACATGCTGATTTGCTCTTCACAAATCTTCTTTTTGCATTGTCTGTTCAAGCTTTTTGCCCATTTTTGGATTGGGGCCTTTGTCGCGTGTTTGGGGTCTCAGAGCACTCTGGATGCTCTAGATACAAGTCCTTTGGAGGGTTTTGAGTTACCGTTAACCTCATTTCATAAAAAGCATTTGTTTTACTTTCATGTTTTAGAAAGGCAAACGTGGCCACTGTGTGCTGTCACGGCGACCGTGCGTGGCCTGCCGTCTCTTCATTCCTCGACAGCATGTGCCAGGCCAGCGCTACTCTGCCATCAGCAGCAGCTGTTGGGACTTTCTGAAAGACTGTGATGTGACCCGCTGTGTTCTAGGTGCGTCACACACAAACTGCACCTAAGTTTTGCCCCCGCACAGGAGGAGGTATTGCCAGCACCACGTTCCAGAGGAGCAGAGGCAGGCAGAGGGGAGTCGCGACCTGCGCCGTGGGCCCAAAGTGTGCTGGCATGCAGGAGATGGGACTCGTCGCCTGCCCCTCCCACTCTCCCTCCGTCTGCCATGAGAGCTAATGCTCGCGCCCTCTGCTCTACTGAAACGTGTAAAGACAAGCCGGGTTCACTCGGATGGACTGGAGGCCACCACATCCTGCGTCCACACTCACTACCTTCCCAGGCTAGCACGCAGCCTGCTTGCCACGGGCTCAGAACAACTGGTGCCTGAAGATTCAGCCGCAGGGGCAGGACCTGCACACACGGAGGAGGGCACCACCGCCAGATTGAGACAGCAGTCCCTCAGGACGGGGTGGCTGACCGGCCGGGGAGTGGTAAGGCCTTGAGGCCAGGTGCTGCAGAGTGGGGGAAGAAGGCAGGAGGGGAATGGGGGCCGACAGCCGCGACTTCTGGGGAAGTGGAGGGGGGCTCTGCAGCCTGAAGAGAAGCCTGTGTGTCTGACCCGAGGCCCAGGCAGGGCACCCAGGGACAGGCTGGCTGCAGGGTAGGCGGTGAGGTCCCAAGGCCTGACCTGCAGCCTGGTTCTAACTGCACGACTCTGCTTCAAGCCGTTCAATTCCCTATTCAAGACGGCGAGGTGGGTCTTCTGGGCCAGTGCCGAGGTCCAGGCAGACAGCAGCTCCTGCAATCTCCACGGCAGGGGCCAGCAAATGAGGGCGCATGGGCCAGACCTGGCCTGCTGCCCACTTTTGAAATGCAGTTTCACTGGCGCATGGCCATGCCTGTTCATTCGCTGATTGTCTTTGGCTGCCAAGAGGCCATGGCAGAGAATGTTTGTTCCACGGCCTAAAATATTTGATATCTGACCCTTAATGGGAAAAAAAAATTGTTGACTTCTGATCTGTAGCAATTTGTCTTATTATTTTCTTTAGTATAAATTCCTCAAATAGCATTTATGAGTCAAAGGGTATCCACATAAGAAGTTTTTGATGTCCACTTGGTACTTGTCCCTTAAACAGTACCCCGCCAATTCACGTGTCCATCAGTAGCATAGGACAGTGACTTTGTCCCCCGTGCACACTGACTTCTTCGGTTTTCACTGTATTTTTTTTTTAAAATTAGAGCCCTAGAGTTATGCACAGTGGTTGGACTCATTTGGCCAAGTCACGCATACATGGAATTTGATGGACTCCATTCCAGTCCCTGCCCCCATCCCTCCTCCACTCTGCTGATCTTCCTCTCACTCGTTTATCTATGTATTTATTTCTGATGGGTGCATTTTACATCACATAAAGGTGGAGCTCCCTGCGGCATGCTCACACACGTATCGTGACTATGTTAAGTTCATTCTGCGTTCCCTCCCCTTTCCCTCCCGCTCCCTCTCAATCTTCCTCTTCTACTCCACTGACCTTCCTTATATCTTTATGATATCTGGCTTCCCTTATTTTTCATTGCATTTAGCATGACGTTCTCCAGTGCCATCCATTTACTGGCAAATGCCATAATTTCATTCTTCTTTGTGGCTGAGTGAAACTCCGTTGTGTATACACACCACATTTTCTTAATCCATTCATCTACTGACAGGCATCTGGGCTGGTTCCGTAATCTGGCTGATGTGAATTTGTGCTGCTATAAAAACTGACGTGACTGCATCGCTATAGTATACTGATTTTAGTTCTTTTGGAGAAATACCAAGGAGTGGGACAACACGTTGACTTCTTATTACCTTGATTTGAATGTTTACCGATTGTACAGGTAAAGAGATACAGCAAGATTATTTTAAATTTAAATGTCTTTACGAGTGAATCTAAAAAATCTTCTTTTGAAAAAAAATTCCATGGATATTCCTCGGCTTCTTTTCTACTGGATGTTCAGATTTTCCTTCTTATTTTCCAATAACTCTAAATGTAACTGACGTCACCATCACAGGTATCACAAGTACTTCCCTTAGTGATATGACTGGAAGTGCATTCACAATTTTGGGTTCTGCCCTTGTAGACAACAATCTGTATTCTGGCTGATTTCCTCCTACAGTGACCTGCTTCTAACATCATTCCTTACCCCCTGACTGTTAAATATCCCGGACATTTTTCTGTTAATATGTGATCTAGTATTTTACATGCAAACATCTAATGCATCTGGAATCTATCTGTGCATTAAGGGAGGTCAGGATCTCGTGGTCTTGCCAAGTGGGGAGCCACTGACCCCAAGTCGTGTGTTGGGAGTCCTTCCCTCCCCGGCTCCTGGGAAAGTCCGTCCTGGGTTCCTGAACTCCAGTGTGTGTCCGACTCAGGGACACGGAGCCTGCTCAAGGAATGTCACCTGTTATTCTCCTAGTTGCCCTCGATCAGTTCTTTCCCTGATACTGTGGGGCTGGATTCCTTAAAAATTCTTTGATCTATATCTACAACGCGGTTCCCCTTCCTCAGAGTTCCTTAAAAAATTGGGTGGATGCTTCATGCATTTTCCAGATACACGTGTGAATAAGCATGTCAATATAAAACCACCTTGATTTTGATTGAAAACGCATCAGCTGCGTAGAAATGATGGGCAGCTGATGTGTATTCACACTTATTCACACTTCACGGAGGCCTACTGCCCAAGCCTTTCCGTCTTCCTCAGTGAGGTTCTGTCAGTATCTTCTGAACCTCTGTCTGACCTCTCAGTGTGATTTCTACATTAGTGTCGGGATTCACTGAGAGCCCTAATGGAAGGCCCTCAGAGCTGGGGGAGAGCTGGCCATGAGCCAAGGCTCTGAGAGCTCAGTGGCTGAGACTCGAGGGGGACGGGTGGGGGGACGGCTGGCAGCGAGGTCTGGGGACGGGAAGGAGGGGAAGGACCTGGCCTGAGAGGCAGGCAGGGACACGGAGGGCACCTGAGTCAGGCTGCTCAGACTTCAGCACGGGGGTCATCATACCTCCTCCCAACCAGACAGGAAAAGGGTGGATTCATTTGGAAACGACTCTGCAGGAATATGCGTTGATGTGCACCCTAGAGCACGCCACGGTGATATTAGCAGGAACATAACAGGACCTGATGACACCAGGGACCCATTAACCTTGAAATCTAAGGAACGGGATCGTGGTAGAGTCACACTTTTATTTCTCAGGCAAATTTGTACCTGTTCTGGGGTCTTGTGGGAAAAAATCATAGCAGAACCTCCGTCTTCTACACTGGGGTACTCAGGAAAAGAGCCGGTCAGATTCCTGTGCAGAGAAGGAGGAAAATTGAAAGAGAAGTCAGTGAGGTCCCCTCTGTCGCCGCCCCATTCACCGATTTGCTTGTGTTCACGGAAGCGGGTGGTGGCTATCAAGGGTGGGGCTCCCTGGGATGGAGGGCTGGACAGCATGCCTCTGAGGAGCAGAGGTGACATGCAGTGACAGGATCCTGTCCAGTGGGACAAACATCTCTCCTTACAAGAGACTGTGCTTGTCCTCTTCCTCCTTTTTCCTTTCTGAATGTGGAGGAGTGTGTGCTGGAGGAGGAATGAGGACAGGAGCACAAACGGTGCCTTCCTGTTGGCAGTTCAGGATAAACACAGGAGCCAGAGCCCGCAGAAGGGTGCAGCGTGCAGACCACACCTTTGCCCGTGTCTGGAGCACAGGACCCGCTCTGGCCTTCAGGAAGCCCCGAGGCCCAGGCTCGGCGGGTTTTATGTCATTTTTTTTCTGAGATCACGTAATTTCTACAGTTAGAAAGCAGACGCTGAAATGCCCATTCCTCTGTATTCCAATCTGCTGTTCTGGTTGAAGCATGGGAGGGAAATCTATCCTCACAGATGTCGAAGGGAAAAGGCAGAGGCCCTTAACAGCCTGGTGGAGACCTGCAGGGCACCAGGACAGCACTGGCCTCCTGCAGGTTCTGGCCTGGACCCGAGAGCCCACCGAGAACCCACCCCTCCCACGTCCATGTGGACCAGTCTTCCTGCAGGTGGAACAGGCCCTGCACCCAGGTGTGCTTCTTAACCTCGGGTCTTTGTCATTTGGAAAGGGAAGGGCCACTGAGTCACGGGGCTCATCACTGCTAATGACCCACTGACCATGGTAGCAAGCCAGGGGAACGGGGAGCTCCCATGCTGTTGGGGAGGTCCCTGTGACGTCATCTCGGCCCCGTGACACTCTTGGATGGCCCGGCTCAGACACGTGACAGGAGGACACACATCACAATGCTCGCCATGGCTCCCCAGCCTCCCCAGCCTCCCCAGCCACCTGCACGCCACAGGTCACCGCATGGCTGGGCTCTCGCTGTTTAAAGCTCGAGTGTTTCGAGGACCCACACAAGCTTAGTGACATCAAAAATAAAACAGATTTCCATAGCTATCTAGAATGTGGGACTCTTACGAAACACACCAACTGTCACTAAGATTTAATGTCACAGTTTCACAGGGCCTTTTGCAAAATAATATTAAGTATTTATTTTTACTAGATAAATGAACATAATGGGTCATTCCCACTCATGTTAGTTTATGTAACTATTTATAAGCTGAACCTGAATATTCTTTTCCTTGAATAATGAGAACAGTTGACTTGAGCACAAATCTAAAGACATATTTAAAATTTTGCATTTAGAAAATGACAGTGCCCTCTGGCAGTTCTGTGCCCCCATCTGTTTGCTCCTGGGGATGCAGGTGTGAGCACTGCCCTGGGCTTGTGCTTACTCCACCTGTCTGTCCCTCTAGGACACCTCCACCTGCAGGGGTGCTCTGGGCACACTGATTGGGAATCTCTCCTCAGCCCCCTGTGACCTGGTCACTTGTAAGAGAAAGCGGGCCTGAGGTTCTACTTGGCATTTCTGATCCCATTCCCAGGCTGGGGGTTGTTTTCAGCTGGGTGTGCGGCTCCCAGGGTTGTCCCCACCCATCCAGCAAGCCTCCTCAGACCCCGGCTCCCATGGTCCCCACTGCTGCCCATCAGGGCAAGGCGGTGGTGAGACGTGGAGTGTCCGGCTTTGGGCCCTGCTCCCACAGGAGGCGTCAGAGCTGCAGGGGACACACTGCCCGCCATCAGGCCCCTGGGGTGTTTCCGACACAAGCAGCTGGGACCTGATGAACTTGACTTCAGCCCACCTGGGCCTCCTCAGGGGGAGCCGCGGGCTCCAAGTCACATGCTGTCAGGACGGCGGCGTTTTTGATTAAAAGTGGAAACTGAAGCATCTGTGTTTTGTGGACTCTGGCCCCTCTGAGCCCCTCTGCCCCTAATGGGCACTTCCTCCCCATCTCTGCCGGCCCCCATCCCAGGACCACTGGTGCAGGGGATGGTGGAGGCTGCGCTTTTGCATGGACGCTTGGACACATATGGACACCTCACCCCCAGGGAGCTGGGAACCTGCAGGCCCAGGGCCAGGAAGACCCGCTGCTGAGCTTAGGACTGAGGGGCTGAGCATCGCTCTTATTCAAACAACAGGGACTGCAAATGGCAACTGGAATTGCTCTCAGTCCCGGGAAGGCCATGGCCACCGTGCACACCCCAGGCTCAGCTGCTGTCTGCCTGGATGTGTCCCAGGAAGGAGTGGAGGGGCTGCCACCTTCCAGAGACCATTCATCCCTCAGGCTTGGTGTCCCCAGGCTTTGGTGGCCCGGACTCTGGCCTTCTCAGGACACCCTTGCACCTCCTGGCCCTCTGTCCCCTCTGCTGTCCTTAACGACAGTCTCTCCTCCTCACAGTTGCTCACCTCCCAGCCCTCACTGTGGGGCTCACTCATCTCTGCGCTCTTCCCCGCAGCCTCCCAGAGCTGCCCACGTTCACACCCCATTACCAGAGTTCTCACAAGCTATTGTGACGAATCGTGCTCCCGAACCCAAGATCCATGTGTTGAGCCCCCAGCACCTTGGGATGTGACCTCGTTTGGAAAGAAGGTTGGGCAGAGGTCCTCAGTTAAGATCTGGTCACACAGGAGTAGTTTGGGTCCTATCCCAATGTGACTGGTGTCGGTGTCAGGAGGGGAAACTTGGAGAGATGGCACAGAAGGAGGGAGGAGCAGGTGGTGAGGCCCAGGGAGGAGCTGGTCACATGCAAGCCAAGGAGAGGGGCTGGCAAGGCCCTGCCTCTGACCCTCAGGAGCCTCTGCTGCCACTTGAGTTTGGGACAACAGACAACAGACTCCCATGGTGCAGCGCCCACCGCAGGCCTGGGTTCCAGCAGTGCCAGCTCAGCAACATGGTCATGCTGCGGGTGGGCAGAGTGCTCTCTCCAGAAGGTTCTCCATCCTGGTTTCATGCTCAGCATCCCCTGGCCTCTGCCTGCCCCTCTGACATCCTGCCTGCCTCCGGAGTCCCTTCTCTGCCTCACATGGAGAGTGCTCACATGTTGGGGACCTGTCAGCAGCATCTGAGCTCCCCATCACCTTATTATTATTAAAGGGGGCTGCTAGCCTCCTCTGGGCTCTCCTGCTGGGTCCTCCTTGTCTCCCCACCTGGAACCTGGAAGGGGCTTGGTCTTAGGGTCCTCCCTCTCTCCATGCCCAGGCTCACGGCCGTCTGGCCCCTGCCTCACCGCCCCACTGACTGCAGGCTCAAGCCCTACTGCCCGGCCAGGCCTGGCAGCCCAGGGACCCCAAGGCCCCAAACTCAACTCTTGTTCTCACCAGCCCTCCTCCTCCTGCTCTCACCTTTTCCCAGTTCAGGAAATGGAAACTGTCTCTCCAGGGAGGGAACGTGGCGTCCCCCTCGGCCCCTCTCTTCTTCCACACCTGTGTTCTGTCTGCAAACACGGCTGGGTCTGCCTTCCTCGCATGCCTGCAGTGTGACATGGGACATCCCCTCCTGCCCCCTTTCATTCTTAAATGTGTCCTGGTTTGGACACAAAGACACTTAGACCTGCCGTCTGATGCTCCCCCATCCCCGCGTCCCCCGCCACCTGCCTCCCTCTGTGGCTGTCCCAGCTGCTCTGCCGCCTCCTCATTCCTCCTCTGGTGCCCTGCTCAGAGACTCAGCCCCTGATGAAAAACATACACCAAGTGGCCAACTCTGGCACTGGGTTTAAGGGTGTCCTCCAGGGTCACACTAGCAGAGAGGTCTGCCCTAACTGTCCTGTATGAAATGAATTGTTCGGCCACACAAAACGACTGTCCTCTCATCTCACCACCACGGACCTGCTGAGGTGCGTATGTATCTCTGGGTGGAGAAGAAGTGGGGTGTGGAGTTATTTTGGGATGATGATCTCAATTTCTCTTCCCAGAATGGAAAGCATTTTAATTAGATGCAGGAAACTTTTCTACTTAAAACAGATTTTAGGGCAAAATCCTCTGCACAATTATTAAGTGTCAAATAGGCTGCCTTTGTGCATGGTGATTATTTAAATTACAGGTTTCTCTCAATTGTAATTCAAAGCCACTTGATTATCTTCAAACTGTCATCATTTTGCTGATTTACAGTGTGTGCTAGAATGCGTTCCAGAATGCATCCCACTTCCGACCTCTCTGCCCGGCTTCCATTTGCTCTCAAAATGCTGCAACAGGCAAGGTCAACAAGCAAGGTCAAAGCGGGCTCTTCAGCTGGGCATCTGAGTCCCCCCATGGAACAAGTGAGGCAGGGAATAGAACCTGCAGGGCTGCTGTGTACAGTCTGCTCACCTCCCCTGCCTACACATGAGCAGGAAGGGAGAGGAGGAGTGAGAGCCACAGGAACAGGAGCCCAGGACCCAGGAGAGCTTGTCAGGACTGCGATTCAGCAGCCGCTGGGGACTATCCCCCACCACACCTCACTACAGCAGAGGCTGGCACGTTCTACAGGGATGACCTTTTTTTTTTTTAAAGCAAACATTTGGGTTTGGGGAACAACATTGAATTTGTATTAAATCAAGTTTTCATTTCCAGAAGACAGAATACTTTGAGTTGTTCATTAATTCCACTTGTTTTGTTTATCAAACTTTAGAGATTGTTTAAAATTTTCAAAAATAAATGACACCTTCCTGTCACTAGGTCTGGTCTACCCTAGAATAATCCAAAAAAATAACAAAAAGGGGAAGGAAGGAAAGAAAAAGAGAAAGTGAGAAGGCCTCAGAGCGGCTGCAGTGAGGGTGCAGAGCCCCGAGGATGGCCGTCTCCTGTGCTCCTTCCAGGGGCCCAAGGTCGTGGGTGGCACCATCTCCACACTGTCCAGGACAATGGCCTCCAACCCCGGGCTCTGACGCTTCCCTCGAGTGAGCCTCCCGTGGCCTCGGGAGTGCCAAGCAGCAGCTCCGGCGCCAGCCCAGATCTTCTCACTCCA